CGCCGACGCCGACGATGCCGACGATGCCGACGATGCCGACGACGACGACAACGACGACAACGACGACCACCACCACGACGCCGACGCCGACGCCAACGCCGACGCCGACGCGGACGCCGACGCCGACGCCGACGAGGACGACGAGGACGACGACGACGACGACGACGACGACGACGACGACGACGACGATGCCGACGCCGACGCCGACGCCGACGTCGACGCCGACGCCGACGCCGACGCCGACGCCGACGCCGACGCGGACGCGGACGTGGACGCCGACGACGACGAGGACGACTACGACGACAACGACGACGACGACAACGATAATGACAACGACGCATAAGACGACGCCGACGGCAACAACGTCAACGGCGGCGGCGGCGCACCTGGCGCCAGCGCCTGCGCCTGGCGCCGGCTCAGCCAGAACCCTACTAGGGCCAGATCCAGCCCGAAGAAAAAAAAAACTGGATCCAACTTTGGAAAAATCGAACGGTTCGCTGCAGCTGTGGTAGAATCCCATTGGGGCTGGATCCAGGTCCACTAAAACACTTAGATGGCTCGATCTACGAAAGAGCGATCCAGAGCTGATAGAGTCCCATTGCTCGACCCAGCTTTAGCGAAATCCTGTAACTGGGGCTGGATCCAGCCCTAATAGAATCATAAAGGGCCCAATCAAGGTCAAATCCCACCAGCCTTCTGGGCGTAGGTGGTTTAGGGAATTTCCTCTTCCACCCCTCCTTCTTCCCCTTCGGGGAGGGGTTTACCCCTCCCCCTAACCCCTCCCCTGGACTTGGACAGGGGGGGCCGCTGGTAGTTAGAGCGTCCAAGACGGCCTCGGCGAGGAAGCCACAATCATCGGTTTTACTAGGGTTTTGGCCCCATTTTGGCCTCTTGGGGGGGCAAGGCTAATTAACCCCACCCTCTTCTTTGATCGATCTCCTCCAAGATGGCCCCAAGAGGCGCCCAGGAGGCCCCACGAGGCTTCCAAAAGGCCTCCAAGAGGCCCCAAGAGGCCGCCATGAGGACCCAAGAAGCCCCCAAGAGGCTCCAAGAGGCTCCAAGAGGCTCCCAGGATGGTTCCAAGAGGCCTCCAAGAGGCTCCAAGAGGCCGCCATGAAGCTCCAAGAGACCCCCAAGAGGCCCCAAGAGGCCTCCAACAGGCCCCCAAGAGCCCCCCAAGAGGATCCCAAGCGGCCTCAAGAGGCCCCCAAGAAGCACCCAAGACGCCCAAGAGCCCCCATTGACCGCCAAGAGACCCCCAAGACGTCCGAAGAGGCTTCCAAAAGGCTTCCAAGAGGCATCCGAGCGGCATTCAACCATCCACCCAGCGTCATCATTCTCCTCATCCCTCCTTCGCTCGGTTCCTCGCCACCCCCTCATCTATCCATCTGGCCTCCTCTTCCGCCTCATCCTTTGCACGGATCGGCTGTCCCTCTCGTTGCTCCCCCACTTCCCTGATCTCTTCAACTTGCCTGGACATCGTTTCTGGATGGGCTGGTGGGGACACGCGAAGCGTCAAGAATTGAATCCCATACGGGCTCAATCCAGCTCCGATGGATTTTCACTAGGATTGGACCCAGCTCTCGTGGGATCTTTAAAGGGGCTCGATCCAGCTCTCATGGTTTCCTACCGCGGCTGGATCCAGATTTGATAGAACTGAATCCTGCGAGAGTTCTGTCCAACTCTCATGGGATCTCATCAGGGCTGGATCCAATTCTACTACAGTCCTAACAGGGCTGGATCCAACTTGGATGGAGTCCGATCAAAGCTCGACACAAGTTTATTGCATCACTGGTGGAGTTGGAAACACCTGTGATAAAATCCGATTAGGGCTCGACTCAGCTCTAACGCAATCCTACTAAGGTTGGGTCCAGCTCTAATAGAATCTGAATAAGGGCCGGTCCAAGTTCTAATTGAATCCTACAATGGATCCAACTCTAATACCATCCTACTAGGGCTCGACCCAGCGCCAATCGAATCCGATTTGGGCTGGGCCCAGTTATGATAAAATCCTGCTAGGGCTCGATGCAGCTCTAGATCCCCAGGGCCCAGTTCTAACAAATCCGACTAAGGCCCAATTATAATGAAATGCTAGTCCTCTGCGGTCGATCCAGCTCTCACAGAATCCTACTATGCTGACCCAACTCTGATAGAATTCGTCTAGGATTCGGACCAGCCCAAATAAAATCCGACTAGATAGGATCCAGCTCCAGTAGAGCCCTATTAGGGCTGAATCCAGCTCTAATCGAATCCAGCATGGGCTGGATCCAGCTCTGATAGAGTCCTGTCAGGGCTGGATCAAGCACAAAGGAAACCACACGAAGGCTCGATCCAGCATTACTGCAGAGTCCTTGTAGAATTGGACCCCTCTTTCAAGCAATCATACTAGGGTTCGCTCCAGCGCTAATAGAATCCTACTCGGGCTGGATGAAAGGTCGCATAATGCCACTGTGAGTGAATCTAGATCCAATGGAACTCTACTCGGGCACGATAAAGCTCTCACAGCATCCCACTAGCGCTCGATAGTCGTCGTCGTCGTCGTCCTCGTCGTCCGCGTCGTCGTCGTTTGCCGGCGGGGAAGTCGTCGTCGCCGTCGTGTGCCGGCGGCAACGTCGTCGCCGTCGTTGTCGTTGTCGTCGGCGTCGTCGTCGGCGTCAACGTCGCCGTCGTCGTCGTGGTCGTCGTCTGCCGGCGGCGGCAGCTGGGCGAGGGGGAAGCATTTTGGAGCACCCGAATAATTTTCTGGAGGGGTGCGAGCGTGTCACGGATAGAGATGCCCACCCCCTGCGAACCCTCTGCGGCGACGAGGAATGACACACCTGTCACGCCTTGCGAGCATGTCGCAGATAGAGACCCTGCGCTCAAGGACCCCCCCCCTGCGCACGCCATCTGGCGCTGCGGAAATGCCACGCCTGGCGACCGCGTCACAGATAGAGGCCGCGCTGAAGGACTGCCCCTGCACCCCCCTTCTGACGTCGAGGAAATGCCACGCCTGCGCGAGCGTGACACGGGTTGACGCCACGCTCAGGGACCACCACCCCGCGCACCCCCTCTGGTGTCGAGGACACGCCACCCCTGGCACGCCCTGCGAGCGCGTTATGGATAGACGACGCGCTAAAGAACAACCCCCTGCGCACCCCCTCTGATGTCAGGGAAAAGCCACGCATGCCGCGCATTTCAGGAAATTGCCACGCCTTCCACGCCCTGAATGTGCTGTGACTGTGTCTTGATGTGTAAACGTGTTGTGTATGTGCCCGCGTCTGCATGTCGTGTGTAGGTGTTTGAGGTGACTGCGTCAACTGTCTACCAACGTTGTCTCGAGTGTGTGCCGCGTATGTCTGGTGTAAATGGATGGTTATCTAATGTGTGTGTGTGTGCGTGTGTGTATGTGTACCTGTGTACGTGCGTATGCCGAATGTGCGTGAAGATGTATGTGTGCGTGTGTCTGCTGAATGCATGGTATGTCCAATGTGTGTATGCATTCGTCTGTGTACGTGTACGTGTGTCTGATTTGCGTGCCAGTGAGAAGAAGGAGGATGGGAGGCGGGAGAAGTGGGTGCGACACGGGTGGGAACGGGTAGGGAACAAGGAGAGCGGAAGAGCAACGGCCGTAGCACACATCAGAGATGCAGACGTCCCAGCTCCAAAGAGATGCGAGCTCGGCACGCTCAGTGGTCGGTGCCACCGTGGTGAATGGTTCCTCTGGGCGTTCGGCGGTCGGCTCCTGGTCTTTATCACGACCTGCAGCACGGAGATCACGCGATGCGGCACAGGTGGAGAAAGAGAACGACGCCAACGAAGAGGATGTCGATGAGGACGGGGGCGAGGACTGGAAAAGGGGGCAAGACGGCGACGAGGCGCCCGGGATCCATCCGGTCCGCGGGCGTCTTCGGGTCGGACCGGCGCTTCGCCGCGCTCGGGGGCTCTGTGCCACCCGACCTATTCGTTCGCAGGATCTTGGATATAAGTCATCATCCTGCTTTCGAGCATCGTTTCGCCGATCCCCATCACCAGCGTGGGCTGGGCCCCACTGGCCGATTTGCCCCCCTGACGGGGATGTAGGCTGCTCTCCTCGGGCTTCGAGAGGCACATCCCCAACTGGGGCGGTGAGACGGTGGGGCTCGAGATGTGGATGGGGATGGGGATAGGGATCGGTTAAACGATACTGAGCTTTGCTGCACAAGACCAGGGGACGAGGAAGAACGAGGACGGCAACGACCTAGACCTTCGACGACCGAGCTCTCTCGAGCCACCAACATCCAGACCCCTCGGCCCCTTCCCCAGAGCCGACGCTTCGGCCCGAGTCGCTCTGCGATGGCCCTGGGGCCTGGAAATGGCCCTCGGACACCGAGGATTCGCGGGTGGACAGAAACCCCTTTAGTGATACGTGGTTTAGTGAAAACGACCTCGGGCTCAAACCTGGCGGGCGCAAGCCTGGAAAATGACGGCCGCGGCGCCCTCTCGAGAACCGAAAACGGACAATTCACTAATCGACGTGTCAGGGTGGGGGTTCTGTCCACCTCCGAAAGATGACAGGAAGCACTCCGGACGAAACTCTCCAGCACGATCTCTCGGGCAGACAGAGGTCTGGGAAGGACAAGGAAGAAGCTCGCGGGGCTGATGACCATTCCTAGAAGAAGGATGAGCGGCAAAACATACAGAGTTGGCGCTCCGCGCGGATTTCTTGGCGCGCGGAGAGCGCAAGGGGCAGCGCCGGAGGCGCCGCCAGGGGGAGCCCAGCGCGGGGATCTAAGAAATCCGCGCGCAGCGCCAATAGTTTATGTTTGTGGCGTTTTTTTCTTCGAGCTCCTGAGCGAGCGAGGACATACGGTGGAGAGGAACAATTACTGAACACTCCCCTTCACCCCCAGTCTCAAAGTTGGCACACGCGCGGGGGAGACTGCGGTCGAGGTGCAACTCGTCAGACCTACCGTCAACTCTGAACGCGGGGGGAGGGGGAGGCGAGGCGTTGACAGATGAATGTGGCATGAGTGTTCGTCATTTTTGTCCGAGGCCTGTATGTACAGGTACGCCCTCCGCGATCCCGCGTGCCCAAGCGACCGCGCGCAGCCCGATCGCAGGCCACCGGAATCCGACCGCACACGTGCACACATGTTGTCGGCATCTGCTGAGGGGCAACGATGAGGGGGACTGGCTAACAGGGGGGCACATCGACCTGGGCGACGAAGAGAAACGGGTCTTACGCGAGATGGCAGAGCGACCTTACGCGGTGGCTTACGCAGGCCGCCAGCGCAGAACGCTGCATTGGAGACGAAGACGCTTGCGCGCGACCTTGCGCGGAATGTCGGCGCAGACGGCCCCGTCTTTCTAGCGTCGCCCACCTGGAACCGGCGAAACACTGCCGATTGATCGGCGATAGACCTCCGATAGCGCATCCGCACGTTCCCGGGCGGGGCAGACGATCGGGCTGGGCCCCTGTCGGCGATGAACGGGCGACTGGGGGTCGAGGCATCACCCCCCTGAGCCTGCCCCCCCCCATGTGGTTGGTTTTCAGGCCGTAGCTCGGCTCTCAGGCGGCCCCTCGGGACGACGCGGGCAGCCCCAGGACGCCCTCGGCGAGGCGCGGCTGCTGGAACACATCTCGAGCCCCGAGAACCGCCGAGAGGGCCCGAGATTCGAGCCTCGAATCTGGAGCACCACGTGGGACCTGCTCTAGAACAAGAGCATACCGTAGACGGATCTACCCTTTCTCCGACCCTGTACTGCGCCGAACGCAACGGCCGAGTTGTCCACAGACGCATCTACCCCAAATGCGTCTATGGATGTCACGGCACCCACTGTCTCCGTGGACGCTTTTGGCTAGAACGTGAGAGCGGTACTTCGCACTGGCCCCAGAGGACTCGCCTTCTAGAGGCGGGTAGACTTGGTCCTCCCAGCTCGAATCTTGAACCTGGGCCCCTTCGCCCCCCAGCGCTGCCCCCGGCACTCGATGCTGGCGGGGGGCCGCGCACACCTGCTCGGGCGCCACGCCCCCCGGGCGACCCGCTCGAAGAGCGGGGCGCGGCGAGCGCGCGACGAGTCCCCCCCGCGGGCGGAGGCCTGGAGACGAGCACCAACATTGGCGGCGCGCACAGGGGGGCGGGGAGGAGGGAGGAGGAGGAGGAGGAGGAGGAGGAGGAGGAGGAGGCCCTAGAACTTGGCGGCGCGCACAAGGGGGCAGGGGGGAGGGCTTCTTGGAAGGAGGCTGCTTCTTAGAAGGCGCCGGCCCTACATCTATAGACGAGGCCCGCGCCTTCTGAGAAGCAGGTGTGCTCCTGAGAAGCCTTCCCCCCTCCCCCATGCCCCCCTCTGCGCGTGGCCGACAATACCAACGTGGGGGGGGGGGGCCTCCACCGGGGGAAGATGATCCTGGATGCCGGTGCCGGGTGGCAATCTTCCGGCGACATGGAAAGCCCGAACATTACCACCACCAACGAGATCGGGATCATCTTCCCTCGGTAAGGGCACACAGCCGACATTGGCGTTGGTGGGGAAAGCTACCGATACCGCCACTCCCTGGACCTCTCCCGGGGTGCGCTCTGACCAGGCTTTCGAGGCGACTGCAGCGGTGGCAACGAGGGCCTCCCGGGAGGACCACAGAGGGGAAAACGGGCGGAGGGTAGCGGTATGGGTACGTTGCCCTCCTCCGAGGGAAAGGCACACAGCCCACATTGCTGTTGGTGCCGACCTCCGGGCTGCCGACTCTCACTGCGTGCTGGCAGGCCGCACCGACCGCCTCCGGGGCGCCTTGCTCTCCTCCGAGGCGCCCGGCGCACGCTGCAGCCGCGCGCCGCCCGGCGGTGCGGGGGCCTGGGCCGCCGCCTCCGCGGCGCGCTCGTAGGGGTAGTCCCAGGGGGCCTCGAGGAAGCCCCGGACAGCCGAGTAGTCCGAGTCGCTGTTCAAGATCCACCACAGAGGGGGGCTGACCCTGAGGGGGGGCAGGGATTCGAGATCCGCTGGTGCACCGAAGTGCCGCAAGCGGATGCCCCCCGCATGCCCCACCTGTGGGCATCTATCCGGAGCTGCCTGCGGGTGGGGGGCATCTGTTTTGGGCGGTTCGGTGCAAAAACCGATCGAACTCACTCACACACCCCAGGGCACACACCCCCTTTGCGGGATCCCGAGCTGTGCGCGCCGAGCCCGCCCATCTGGTTGAGCAGGCCGCAGTCCCGGTACTCGTCGTCGTAGCGGGCGACCTTGCAGTAGCGCAGCACGGTCGCGGGCTCCTCGAAGCCCTGGGCCACTTCGTAGTTGCGGAAGTTCGCCCTCTCGTCGTCGATGAGCACCACGCCCTCTGGCCGCAGCTGCAGGAGGTCCTGGTAGCATGACCTCTGCTGGCCCCCCAGCTGCGGGAACCACTCCTTGGGTCAGGTCGGGCATGTCCCTCTACAGGCCGATTTCCAACGGAAAAATAAAGAATAGCCCCCAGAAATAGTCCAAAATGATCGAAACATGCTAGAATAATCGTCCTCTGACTATTTTTTTACTATTTTGGAATACGCCTCTTGTAGGGGGACAGGCCCGACTTACTCCTCGGGATGGTCCACGACGTGGCGGAGCAGGTCCGCCTTGTGGGCCTTCACCCTCTCCACGGGGGCCTGGAAGGAAGCCCAAGTCCTGCCAGGAGAGCCCAGAATGGAATCGATAAGTCGGATCGGCGATCGGCATGAACCGCATCGGCGAAAATCGGCAGCCGAGTCGGGAACAGTCGAATCGGCAGGAATCGGCAGGCTGGTATGCCTCCACGAAGAAATCGGAACCCAGATCGGAATCCCAGGTCGAACCGAATCGGAATCGGAAGCCATCGAAGCCGAATCGAATCGAATCGGAGGAATTGAAACCAGCCCAAGTCCTGCCGTCACGGTAGGCGCCATTGTCCCTGCCCGAGCCGCCAGTCTGGCTCATGGTCCAAATCACGCTGAAGTGCTCCTCCAGCCCAGCGATCCTCAGTAACTTGAGCACGGCCATCGCGCCGTGCTCGTTCTTGGTCAGCACGGCCAGCTTCCTCTTAGTCGCGATCCACTGCAGCAACGCGCCGAGTTTCTTGATCCTGCTGCCCTCCACCCACGGGGTCTCAAAGTTGTACTCCCGCAGATCGGCTTCGGACCATTCCCTCTCTCCCATGTCGGCGCTCGGCATAAAGGTGGCCAGTGTGAGCGTCTCGTCGAAATCGAACACCACCAGCTGCACGGGGTTCCTCCTTTCGTGGCCCTCGAAGTCGCGCTGGTTGCACCGGACCTCCATCGACTCCTTGCACATCCAGGGGTCTTCCACGAAGCGCTTCAGCATGTCGTAGTCCGCGTCGCTGTGCGCGCCGATGCCTCCCATGTCCTTGATGAGCCCGAAACTGCGGTAGTTTGCGTCGTACCGGGCCACCTTGCAGTACCTCATCACCTCGACGCCAGAGGGGCTCTTGAAGTTCGCCCTCTGGTCGTCCACGAGCACGATGCTCTCCGGCTTCAGGGGCAGCAGGTCCGCATACCTGGCCCTCCCGGGGCCCACCAGCTGCGGGAGCCACTTCTCTGGGCACCCGCACACGTGCTTCAGCACGTCCGCCTTGTGGTCGTGGACCCTGTCCACGGGGGGGTCAAAATACTGCCACTCGCCGTCCTCGTCCCGGAACGCGCCGTTGTGCCTGCCCCGGCGCCACGGCATCGTCCAGACGGCGCAGAAGAACTCCGCGAGCCCGCCGACCTGGAGGAGGTTGACCTCGGCGGCGCGCACGGGGGGGGCAGGTGGAGGGGGGAAGGCTTCTTAGAAGCACCCCTGCTCCCTAGGAGGCGCGGGCCTTGTGCATTTGTAGACAGGGCCCGCGCCTTCTGAGGAGCAGCCTCCTGCCAAGAAGCCTCCCCCCTCCCCAGAACCCTCAGGTCGGGCATGTCCTCCTACAGGCGGATCTTGGAAGGCAAATTTAAAAGAGCCCGAAGTTAAAAAAATATCCCGGCAAAGCAACCTAACAGCGATGTGTAGAAGCATATATGGAAGCATTCCCCTTAAGATTCAGATGAGAATCCAGTTGTAGAATTCTGCTGTTCTCGCAGTCGTAGTCGCATTCGCGATGACAGTCGCAGCGGCAACGGCAGTCGCAGTCACAGCCTCAGCCTCAGCCTGCCTCAGCCTCAGCCTCAGCCTGCCTCAGCCTCAGCATGCCTCAGCCTCAGCCTCAGCCTCAGCCTCAGCCTGCTTCAGCCTCAGCCTCAGTCTGCCTTCAGCTTTGGCCTCAGCCTCAGCCTGCCTCAGCCTCAGCTGCATCCGCTTCACATGCAAACTATCAGCTCTGCACAGTGCCTCAGCATTCAGCCGGCCTCAGCGTTGCCTCAGCCTTTGCCTAAGACTCAGTCTGCCTTCAGCCTCAGCCTCAGCCTCAGCCTGCCTCAGCATCAGCCTGCCTCAGCCTCAGCCTCAGCCTCAGCCTGCCTCAGCCTCAGCCTGCCTGCCTTCAGCGCAGCGCTCAGCTTCAGCATCTGTTCACCATTCTCAGCTCTGCATCAGCATCAAATATGCGGCGGTATGAATTCTGGGAAGTCGAAGAGCACGAAGTTGCCTACAGTTGGGTACGGGCATTCAAAATGTGGCCCGGGAATGGAGTTCTGGGAAATAGAAGAGCACGAAGTGGCCTACAGTTGGCTCCGGGCATCCAAAATGTGGCCCGGGAATGGAGTTCTGGGAAATAGAAGAGCACGAAGTGGCCTACAGTGGGCTCCGGGCATCCAAAATGTGGCCCGGGAATGGAGTTCTGGGAAGTCGAAGAGCACGAAGTTGCCTACAGTTGGGTACGGGCATTCAAAATGTGGCCCGGGAATGGAGTTCTGGGAAATAGAAGAGCACGAAGTGGCCTACAGTTGGCTCCGGGCATCCAAAATGTGGCCCGGGAATGGAGTTCTGGGAAATAGAAGAGCACGAGTGTGTGACTGTGCATCGGTTATTCAGAATGTGGCCTGGGAATGGGGTTTCTGAGAGGTCGCGAGCACGAAGTGTTGTGAATGTTGGTGTAAAACGAGCCGGCACAGGCCCGGCCTGCAGATCCAACGCCTGCCCGGCCCCTGTGGAGTGATTCCTGTTGAAGCTCTTTTGAACCCCACTAGATACCTATAAGTCTTCGCTGGGTTAGGTAATTATCCCGGCAAAGAAACCTAACATCGATGTGTAGGAGCACATCTGGAAGCATTCCCCTTAAGATTCGGATGAGAATCCAGTTGTAGAATTCTGCTGTTCTCGCAGTCACAGCCTCAGCCTCAGCCTGCCTCAGCCTCAGCCTCAGCCTGCCTCAGCCTCAGCCTGCCTCAGCCTCAGCCTCAGCCTGCTTCAGCCTCAGCATCAGTCTGCCTTCAGCCTCGGCCTCAGCCTCCGCATGCCTCAGCCTCAGCCTGCATGAGCCTCAGCCTCAGCCTCAGCCTGCCTCAGCATCAGCCTGCCTCAGCCTCAGCCTCAGCCTCAGCTGCCTCAGCATCAGCCTGCCTCTGCCTCAGCTGAGCTGCCTCCTGCCTCAGCCTCAGCTGCTATTCGCGCAGCCTCAGTCTGCCGTTCGGCCTCGCCTGCCTCAGCCTGCCTCAGCCTCAGCCTGCATCAGCCTCAGCCTCAGCCTCAGCCTCGGCCTCAGCATCAGCCTGCCTCAGCCTCAGCCTCAGCCTGCTCAGCCTCAGCCTCAGCCTGCTTCAGCCTCAGCCTCAGTCTGCCTGCAGCCTCGGCTTCAGCCTCCGCCTGCCTCAGCCTCAGCCTGCATCAGCCTCAGCCTCAGCCTCAGCCTGCCTCAGCATCAGCCTGCCTCAGCCTCAGCCTCAGCCTCAGCCTGCTCAGCCTCAGCCTCAGACTGCCGCGAGCCTCACCCTGCATCAGCCTCAGCCTCAGCCTCAGCCTGCCTCAGCCTCAGCATGCATCAGCCTCAGCCTCCGCCTGCCTCAGCCTAAGCTTCAGCCTGCTTCAGCCTCAGCCTCAGTCTGCCGTCGGCCTCGGCCTCAGCCTCAGCCTGCCTCAGCCTCAGCCTGCATCAGCCTCAGCCTCAGCCTCAGCCTGCCTCAGCCTCAGGCTGCCTCAGCCTCAGCCTCAGCCTGCCTCAGCCTCAGCCTCAGCCTGCTTCAGCCTCAGCCTCAGTCTGCCTTCAGCCTCGGCCTCAGCCTCAGCCTGCCTAAGCCTCAGCCTGCATCAGCCTGAGCCTCGCTAGCCTGCTCAGCTTCAGCCAGCGCTCTGCTTCAGCCTGCATCAGCTCAGCATCAGCCTGGCTCTGTCTCTAGCCTCAGCCTGCTTCAGCCTCAGCCTCATCTGCCTTCTGGACTCGGCCTCCTGCTCCAGCCTGCCTCAGCCTCAGCCTGCATCAGCTCAGCCTCAGCATCAGCCTGCATCAGCCTCAGCTGCCTCAGCTCAGCCTCAGCCTGCCTCAGCCTCTGCTCAGCTCTCGCTTCAGCCTCAGCCTCAGTCTGCCTTCAGCCTCGGCCTCCGCCTCAGCCTGCCTCAGCCTCAGCCTGCATCAGCCTCAGCCTCAGCCTCAGACTGCCTCAGCATCAGCCAGCCTCAGCATCAGCCTGCCTCAGCCTCAGCCTCAGCCTGCCTCTGCCTCAGCCTCAGCCTGCTTCAGCCTCAGCCTCAATCTGCCGTCGGCCTCGGCCTCAGCCTCAGCCTGCTCAGCCTCAGCCTGCATCAGCCTCAGCCTCAGCCTCAGCCTGCCTCAGCATCAGCCTGCCTCAGCCTCAGCCTCAGCCTGCCTCAGCCTCAGCCTCAGCCTGCTTCAGCCTCAGCCTCAGTCTGCCTTCAGCCTCGGCCTCAGCCTCAGCCTGCCTCAGCCTCAGCCTGCTTCAGCCTCAGCCTCAGCCTGTCTCAGCATTCAAATGTGGCCCGGGAATGGAATTCTGGGAACTCGAAGAACACGAAGTGGCCTACAGTTGGCTCCGGGCATTCAAAATCATGCCCAGGAATGGAGTTCTGGGAACTCGAAGACCACGATGTGGCCTACAGTTGGCTCCGGGCATTCAAAATGTGGCCCGGGAATGGAGTTCTGGGAACTCGAAGAGCACGAAGTGGCCTACAGTTGGCTCCGGGCATTCAAAATGTGGCCGGGGAATGGAGTTCTGGGAAATAGAAGAGCACGAAGTGGCCTACAGTTGGCTCCGGGCATCCAAAATGTGGCCCGGGAATGGAGTTCTGGGAAGTCGAAGAGCACGAAGTGTGTGACTGTTGCATCCGGTTATTCAGAATGTGGCCTGGGAATGGGGTTCTGAGAGGTCGACGAGCACGAAATGTGTGACTGTTGGTGAAAAACGAGCCCGGCACAGGCCCGGCCGGCAACTCCCAACGCCTGCCCGGACCCCCCTGTGGAGTGATCTGTGAGCTCTTTTGAGTCAACTAGAAACCTATCAGTCTACGCTGTTAGGTAAAAACAGTCAAATGAGCACGAAGAATCATCACGAGACTACTTCTTTCTATCATGGAAAATTCCTCCCGCAGAGGGACATGCCCGCCTGAACCACACACACCCCCGTGCGCGCCGCCAACGACCACGGCGAGGACGCCCGCCGCGTTGGCGTTGCGCGTCAGCACCGCCAGGCGCCGGCGCTGCCCGCCCCTGCCGCTCGCGAGCCCCTGGAACAGCTGTCGGAGCTTGTCGAGCCTGTGGCCCTCCACCTTCGGTGGCAACGCATGGGGGCCTCCCACACTGTCTTGTCGGCTCTTGCGAATCGGCGCTAGTCGACGCTGAATCGACGCTGATCGACGCCAAATCGATGCCAATCGACGCTAGCCGACGCTAATCGGCGCTGTCTCGTCGACTCCAAGACGCCAATCGACGCGAACCGACGCTAAACATAAAATTGCGAGAGAACGCAAGGCTCCCATGATTTGCTACCGAGCTCCACCCAGGGGGACTCGAAGTTCACCCTCGCCATGGTCTCGCGCTCGCTGGGGAGGCAGCTGCCGTCCGAGGTCATGAACGTCGCCATCGTGAGCGTCTCGTCCAGGTCGAAGACGATGAGCTTCACCGGCGCGGAGCGGTCGAGCTGCGTCGACACCCGCTCCGCGCACCTCAGCCGGTACTGCGAGGCGGCGCTGGTGCGGTGCAGGTTGCTGCCCTGCCTCCGCCAGCCGGTGCCCCGGCCGCTGCCCCGGGTGGCCGCGCCGCCGGGCGCGGCTTTGCCCGGGGGCGGAGGGTTCTCGCCGCCGCATATCCGCTGGCCCATGGGACACGCCAGTGCAGGTCGGGCAAAGCTGCGCCCCGACGACCCAGACCCCCCTTGCGTTGCGACAGAAATCACGACGGGAGGTTTCCATATTTTCTGCCTCTGGGGGCCCTTGCGGGGCCTCGGGACCGTCAAAAAACGACTCAGGATGAAAAACCGGTCCTGGAGAAGGGGTCCCGACCTCTGGGGGTCGACGTGGTGAAAAAATCACGACGTCGGGGGTCTGGGGAGGTTGCTCTCCCAGCGTCTTGAGCCAAAATGGCTGCGTGCGGAGTACGAGGAGGAAAGGAAGGCGGAAGTGGAGGAGCGTCGTCCCTTGTCTGTTTGAAGCACACAGGGGGAGAAGGATGGAGAGGGAAAGAGGAACAGCAGTCGAACCCCATTTAGGTCCTGGCCCGCCACCTGTACGACCATGGCAAGAGATACAGTGCACAAGATAGATTTGCCAGCGCGGACCCCAAGCAACGGGTTCTTGCCCTCTCGATGTGCGCTCTACTTGGCGCAATATTTAGCGCTTTACTGGAGCTCTAAGTTATCTATGCGACGCAAGCTGTGGCGCCATGAATTTGGATACCCACCCAGCCATCCACCCGCAACCTGCTGGCAAAACTCAATTAGCGAAGCGACAAGAGGACCTTTTCATACAGATCCATGACTCGGGTGGGCGAATAGTGATGGTGGCAACGACATGGGCTACAACTACGACGACGACGATAATGAGAATGATTACACGAACGATGATAATAACCATGATGATGATGATGACGACGACGACAACGACGAGAAGGATGATGATGATGCTGATGACGATATGTACGATGATGATGATGATGCTGATGATGATGATGATGATGATGATATGATGATGATGATGATGATGATGATGATGATGATGATGGTGATGGTGATGGTGATGGTGATGGTGTTTATGATGATGCTGACGGTCATACGGGTAATTGTGGTGGCGCTGATGACGACAACGACGACGATGAGGATGACGACGGTGGTGGTGAGAACGACGACGATGGTGATGGTTTTGTGTGGTGATGATGGTGATGACGGTGGCAGTGTTGGCGCTGGCGATGATGACTACGATGGTGTTGGTGAGGATGATGTGTTTTTGAAAACATCTCTCTCCTCATTTGCGTATGGGACCAGCGGTTGTTGGCGATGCTTTCGAGATGCGGGAGCGGCGACGCGCGCGTGGTCCGCATGGTCTGTTTTGACAGAATAGCAACGAAATGATTTCGCACGGCTGAAGCAAGCGCACGTGCGGAAGGGTGCTATTCTTATTTCATCTGTTTTTGAACAGTACAAACTTGAATATGTTGGAAACAATCGTTAGGTCGGGCGTGTCCCCCTACAGGCGGGCTGTGGACGAAAAATAAGGAATACCCAGAGCATGCTCAAACCATGCAGACAAACAGTCAACAAGTCGTCCCCAGGCTATTTTTCAACTATTTTTGAATATTCCTCCTGAAGAAGGGACGGGCCCGATGTAAAGCAATCGTTCGAGCTGCTTCCACATGCGCGCGAGGGGGCGAAGGCGTGTGGCCCGCCCGGTAATCTCTGGCAGTGGTCTCACCGCAATCCGCCGACCCCGTCGGCGTGCGTGAGAGAACGTTTTTCCGTTCGGGTCGTCATCGTCGTCGCCGTCGCCGCTCCCCCTGCTGATGGGCCTGTCTTCCACCCCCACCACCACCATCAGTTGGATGGGGGGAAGGAGGAGGAGGAGGAGGAGGAGGAGGAGGAGGAAGAGGAGGAGGAGGAGGAGGAGGAGGAGGAGGAGGGAGGAGGAGACTAAGGGCTACGGCGCGCCGTCGGCGCGCTGCGGAGCCCATATCGAAAGCTGATCGAAAGGGAGGAGGAGGAGGAGGAGGAGGAGGAGGAGGACCCCCTCCCCCTCCAACTTATGGTGGTGGTGGTGGAAAACGAGCCCATCACCTCCGTCCCCAGGCCATCCTCCTCAAGCGATCCAGCCAAACGGAAATCAAAGAAGGTCGCAATGGATTCGAGGGAAAGCCCCTTCCCTTTGATCCCTTCCCTAGCGGGGGGATGGGAGGTTCCCGGGAGAGGTCCAGGGGGGATCCTGGTGGGAGGTCCTGGGGGAGGTCCCAGGGGTTGGTCCTGGGGGAGGTCCCAGGGGTTGGTCCTGGGGGGGGGAGGGGATCCCGGGGGGTCCAGAGGGTGGTCCCTGTGTGGTTGGGGGAAACTCAAGACCCCTCCCCACGCCTCCCACCCCCCTGTTGGAACCACCACGAACCCCCCATCCCGCGGTCCCCCCCCCCAAGGAGACACCCTCCTCACTCCTATCTGCTGTTGCGGGGTGTTGCGTTTTCCTACATGCCTCCAAGAGCCTTCAGATCCGATGCGAGGCAACTCCAACCGGCCACGGAACTTCCAAGACAAATCCCCAAACAAAAACGTAAAAAGAGCCCAAGAGGCTTGCGAAAGAGCCTTAAAAATAGCTCCAGTGCGTCAGCATCGTCGTCGTCGCCGCCGCCACCGCCGTCGTCGTAGTCGTCCCTCTTCAGGGTCGGCGGCACGGGCCGCAAGGCATTCCCAATACGCATGCAGGATAGAAGAAAGTGCTTCGCATGGTACGATTTGACACTGGTAAGGGGGGGTCGAACAGAGGCCTGGCCGGAATGCGACTATCTGATATTCAACATGGGCGCTCGTGCAGAATGAAGATGGCGCTTCGCGCGTGCTCGAGCTGTACATGTCTGTTCATACCCCTGATATGGTCCCCCGCTTTTGCCGGGGAGACGTAAGACTCGGGCACGGGGGACTCGAGTTGGCCTGACGGGGCCGTCATAAAAAATCACGAGACCCAATCTGAAACTTGACGCGCTCGTCAAAGAACATCGGCAAGCCCGAGCTCCGGTTCAATCGAGTCTTACGTTGCCCCGATGTTTTGGTCCGTCGACCCAAAGGCTTGTCAGATCTGTGGCCTCGAAGGCCGCCGTTGCAGGGTGCCCGAGCCCCTTCGAACCCGCACCCCATCTTTGCCTCTAGCGTTAGGTCGGGCACGTCCTCCTACAGGCACATGTTTGGCGAAAGTTGAAACATAGCCAAGAAGTCTTCAGAGTGGGCAAACCTAGTAGAAGCCTCGTCCCCTGACTGTTGCTTTGTGCTACTCGTTTGCCACTCCCCCTGCAGAGGGACATGCCCGACGGAACTCCGGCCAGCGCCTGCCGGCCAGAGCGAGCCCCGAACCCCCGGACAGGAGTCCGAGGCGAGCCCCCCGGAGGGGGGCCCTCCAAGCCCCGCGCGGCGGACCCACCCAGGACCTGGCGAGGCCGCCGGCGGCCCGGGAGAGTTCCACCCACGAGCTCGTGCACCACGGCTCCCTCCCTGGCCTGCCGCCGGAGGGAGAACTCACCCTGGCGCGTTGGACCACGGACCCCTCGCCACGCCCCCTGGCCCCCGAGGACCGCCGAAGACCGCCAGCGAGCGCGTGCCCCGCCGCGGGCGCTGGCGGTCTTTCGGCGGTCTGTCGGCGGTCTGTCGGCGGTCTGTCGGCGGTCTGTCGGCGGTCCTTCGGCGGTCCTTCGGCGGTCTTCGGCGGGTCTTCGGCGGTCTTCGCCTGTCTGGACGGCGGCACGACACGGTTTTCGGTGGTTTTCGGCGGGCATCGATGCGAAAGACGGATATTTAGCGTGAGCAAGGGGTCCATGATCGAACACGCAGTAACCCTATCACAGCGAGTTCATACTCACGCCACATCAGAAGCTCGGTGCGGGCTGTTGATCCCTGCCCGAGCACAAGAAGCCGATCACCGCAAACTCGAATATACCCACACCGCATCATAGGCCAGGAAACCACTGAGATAGTTGAGTGTCTGGGGTTGGGCCGACGAAAACTGCATTTCGGAGAGCGATGTCTGATCCTCGCAACTGCCACGCACACGTGTATGTATGTGTATATGTGTACATGTATATATATATATATATATATATATATATATATATACACACCTGCTATATATACACATGTATGCACATGCATGTCCTTTGTACGCATGCATAAACCTGCAAACATGAATGTACCTGTATATATATATATATATATATATATATGTATATATGGGTCCTGGCCTATTCCCCCCCTGCTGGAACCGATGTTTCGTTTTGGGGGGATTTCGGTCCACCGCAAACGCTTCACACACGTTTCGTTTCGTTTGTCGGAGGTCCTTGGACACTCATCTCCTTGGCCAGGGCCCATATATGTATATACATGCATACTCGTGCTCTCCATTCCCCTCCACACGTTCCCTCACCTCGCTCTCTCAGCCGTCCCGTGGGCGCCCGCTCCGCCAGGGCAGTGATGATGGTGGGAGTTCGTGTGGTGGTGGGTGGTGGGTGGGGGGGGTAGGGGGGGGGGGAGGGGGGGGGCAAACAAAAAACAAGCCAAAAAAAAAATTTCGTAGTGTGGGTTTTTTTGTTGGTTGATTTTTTTTTTCGCCCCCCCCCCCCCCCCCGCCACGAGTCGGCCATCACAAGCGGCGCTGGCCGCAAGGGAGCAGCAGCAGGCCTCCACGGTTCCAGGCCGCATGGGAGTGCCCCCGAGCACTCCAGGGGGAAGCACTCCAGGGGGCTCGCGTGGCACAGCGATGCCATGGAGGCGCGTTGAAGTGCGATCGCGCCGCGTTGCTTTGCGACATACTCGAATGAATATGGAGCAGTCGCATGGCTACTACTACTGCTACTGCTACTGCTACTGCTACTGCTACTGCTACTGCTACTGCTGCCACCACTGCGGCTGCTACGGCCGCCGCTACGACGACTACTGGTGTCTCTACTCCTATCATCACTCCTGCCACTAATCCGATCACGACGTCTACCACTACCGCTTGTATTCCCACTACGAGCACCACTACCACTACTACTACTACTACTACTACTACTCCTACTACTACTCCTACTACTACTCCTACTACTACTACTACTACTACTACTACTACTACTACGACTGCTGCGGCTAGTAGTAGTAGTAGTACTACTACTACTGCTACTACTACTACTACTACTATTACTACTAGTACTAGTACTAGTAGTAGT